AAATAGTACCAACCGGGCCTGTCCTTGCTTTGCTTCCAAAGTCTGATAAGATCAGAGTGAAAGGGGTGGATTGGTGGCCGGTGGCATTTCCTTGCGCTTGGGATGTTCAAGCTGCCCCCAGCCAGAATGTTTTCCAGGGGGGGGAGAGCTGGAGAAGGAGGAGGTGGGGCTCTCGTGGCACCCCCAAGCTTTCCGTGGCTCAGGAATGAGCCTCTTCTCATGCATATTCGGAGGCCTGTTTCTTCGAAACAGCCGGCGTGGCTGCAGGAACCTGTGGGGAAAATAGCCACAGCTTCTGCGCGCCGGCTGCTCCCCTATGGCGATTAGAATGGACTCCAGGCGAGCAAGACTGCTGCCGTCTTGCCGCGCTCCCAGCTTGTCACCCCTGGAAGAAGACGGCGTTGGGCCGTTCGCTCCGGGGTGCCGGTGGGGCCTAGGTGGAAGCCATGGTCCAGTATTTTTTTTTTTTGATGATGATGATGATGATACTAAACAGAAAGAGCAGCCTTTACTACAAAAATGTTTCATTCCAAAATTTCTACTCTATTACAGGGATGGAGCACCATCCCTCCCGGCCCACCAGACTTCCTGGAAGGCAGGAGGAACCAGGTATTCCCATTTCAATCTTACTAGACCAGCTGTTGAGAAGCCCAACACATGCGCGCGTCTCTTGTCTGCAAAGGGGGGGGGGTCACAGCAAAGCCTGCCCCTCCACACACACACCCAGTTCAAGGGGCTCTGGGGAGCCTCCCCCCCCGGCCGGCTTCCCTCCCTGCAACCCCAAGAGCAAGAGAGAGGACCTTTGGCCCCTCCGGTGTCTCTCCAGAACGGTCTGAAAGTGGGGGCTCGGTAGAAGGGGGGGTGGGTTTCCCAGCCAGCCTCAGCCCTCATCCGGGATGTCGGCCAGTCTTTGGAATGTCGGTCCCAGATCTCGAGTCCCAAGCCCCAAGTCTTGAGTCCCGATTCGAAACAAGCTTTTTCCCCCCAGAAGAAAAAAAAAGAGGCAGGGTTGGGTGGCTTATCAAGTTGCGTCCGGAGACCTTGAAAGAAAGAAAGAAAGAAAGAAAAAACTGAGTCGATTCGCTGATGCGACTTCAGTCCGACTTGACAGGAAGTCCCGCAGAAAGAAAGAAAGAAAGAAAGAAACTGAGTTGATTCGCTGGTGCGACTTGACAGAAAGTCCTGCGAATCAGGTCCCCCTCCCTGTTAGCCATGGGGGTGGACTAGATGACTTTTGAGTCCCCAGTTCTGTGACTCTGTGGGGGGGGGTACGAGATTGGAGAGAGGCAGGGCCAGTGGGAAAGGAGGAGAGAGCCACCCCCCCCCAGGAAGTACTGAACGGGGGGTGCATTGCCTCCCCCTCCCCGCTTCTTTCCATTGCAGTATGAGATGCTGCTGCTGTTTCAGAGCATAAGAGACATCCCAGAGCAGCGCACACCCCCATCGCCGTGGGCCTCTTGAGGAGTATCTCTCACTGGCTGGGTTAATAAAAGTTGCGGACACCTAGAACGCTCGCTCAGCCTGCGGAGCATTTGATCCCATAGATGCCTTGCCTACTTGTGCCTCTCTCTGCAAGGACACCCTTGCTTTCCTCCCTTTCTGTGTTACTAACCAGCATCCCATAATGATTCCCTCCCTGCCTCCCACTCGAGAACCCAGCGCCACCCCTTCCATGCGCCGAAGCCACCCACCCAGCGCATCCGACGGCCCGAGGGGCACTTTCTCCATCCGGAGCGCATTCCCTCGCCTGCGGCTGCAATGGATCCTGAGCCTCCTCTGGAGGAGCGCTGCGGGCCCCTCGCTTGGGATCTGAGCATCTCCGTATCGTTCGTGTCACACCCGTGGCATGCGGGCGCGCATGGGGGGGCACATGCATGTGTTCTTTGGAAGGCCCAAGGCTTCCTGCCGACTGGACGGTTTGCTTCCCAGCAGGGGCTGTTTTTCGGGCTGTAGGGCCGGACCGAAAGGGGTCTGTGGCCCAGTGGATGAGCCCCACTCGTTTTTTTTCCCCCAGCAGAAAGCCCATGCTCTCCTCTGGGTCTCCTTCTGAGTCACCTGGCAAGGTCCTCTCCCCCGTCTCCATTCCCGTGGCCAGGAGCAGTCTGGAAAAGCCACGGGCGGGTGAGCCTCTGCCAGGCAAAGGCAGGTCGGAGGGTGTGGTCTTTCCATCCACGGGGATGGAAGGGGTCCTGTGGGGTTTGTTTCCCCACCCGCCCCACCTCACCACCGCCTCCTCCTTTGCATGTCTGAGAGGAGGATCCACTGGAGTCCTCTGCTTAAACCTAAGGTTGATCTCTGGCGCAAACGTTGGGCCCTCCAAAGGGAGAACGCCTGTCCTGCACCCCGACCTGGGGCTGCAATCATCACCGCCGTGGCATCCGTGACGAACCTTGTGTGTGGAATTGCGTGGGGATCCTGTGATGTCATAGCAGCCCCGAAGGCGGTGACTCTAAGAAACGGCCCACTCTCTTCTAGGATGCCCGGTGGGGGATGCAAGCCCTGATCCTTGTCACCCCTTGGCTTGCATCCGTGAACATGGCCGTCTGGTGTTTCTAAACTCCAGCTTTTTTTTTTTTTAAAAAAACTGCTTACAATCAAAATGTTTTTTAGCTTTCTTTTTTTAAAGGAAAAAAAAGTTCTTCCTGACACTATACCTGTTGGGGCAGATTATTTTATGCTTGAAAGAAAGAGAAAACTAATTTTGATGGAAATCTTGGCTGCTCCGCTTTCTCTCTCTCTCTCTCTCTCTGTCTGGCAGTCTTTGCAGGGCATGCTGAATTATTGAAACGGCAACGCCTGAGCGTTGCTCCTTTCTGGCGGCATGATTCTCACTCGAGGCCTCCACCCTTCGAACGTTCCCCATCAGATTGGCTCCGTGCTTTTTTTTAAAAAGTGACTTTTCATCCTTTTGCCTGGTGGGCATTTGGAGACGCCGTGCCTGAACCTTTCTGCCTATGAAGCGAGGGGGCCCTCAGGTTCTGTGCTGCTGATGGACGAGGGGGGTGGGCACTGGATTAAAAAATGCTTAATTAAATGGCACAATTACCTCAGTGGTCCCTGCTTTCCTCAGGGCAGAGGGGTTCACCCACCAATCTAGATCTTTCTCTCTTTTAAAAAATGTTATTGGACATAAAAAGAAAACAGAATAAATGCCCATTTTCTTTCATTTTAGCCCCTGTAGGTCCCGACTCGTCCTCGCGTCTGTTCCGTCTGTTGTGAGGGTGGCCGGTTTGTCCCCTTTTGAGCACAGATTGTGGGTTTTCTGCTCCGTGCCTACTTTCAAGTCATTCCCCTCTCGGCTGGCAGAAGGAGAAGGGGACGGTCCTCTCCGAGCCCAGCCTCCCAAGAAACGGGCTGGAAATGGACATCTTAAGCTGGGAGGGGGCTGAGGAGTGCTTTGGGGAGAATTAGGATCCTTAAAAACTAAAGATTTAGTTCAGAGAACTTGTATTTTGGTTTTTAGTGTCTGCCCTGAGTAATGCGCAGAAAAACCAAGCTGCTCTTAATTTCCTTCACCAAATTTGCAGTGTTTATATGGTGTGCCTGCAAGAGGGGACCCAGGCAAGGAACCCTTCGTTCTTGCCTGCTCTACTAATAAAACCCCCCTTTTTTCTCATCAGTGCTGTGAATAACTGAGTTCAGGGCCAATGATTAATTCGACAGCGAAAGGGATATAAACCCGGACGAATGCCTTCCAAATGGTCTCGGTCCCTTAAGAACACCCAGAAGGCATGTTCTCCACCTTTAAATGATGATCTCCTTCAACCACGGAGATGTGGGGTGTCTCTCCTTTGGGGAGGATTTTGACACAGGTTGGCCGCCCGTCTGCCCGGATTCCCGTACCGGCAAGAGGTTGGCCTTTGCGGTCTTTATTGGGATTGAAGCTTCCGCCGTGACAAGGCTATGACTCTATTTCTCCTCCCTACTTTAGTGGACAAATGTGCTTTCCTGTCTTAGGCTGTCGCGGTAGGCAAGGTGGCCAGAATCCAGTTGAATAAGCAACACCGGTGTCGGTCTGTGGATGGGAATTTCAGCAGGAATGTGCTGCTCGTTAAGATGTTGTTTGTGCTTCTTCTCCCGTGCCAACGTGTGTGACTGATGTGTAACAGGAAGTACAGCGGTGGGCTTGTAGGCCAACAGCTGGATTTGTTCTGATATATTTGAGGCTGTTGGGTATAACTAATCGGGTTCTGGACCGTAAGGCCCTGCAGCAGCCCCGCCTGGCCTGGCGCGCTGTTCTGAACCAGGTGATAGCTGGCGTCTCGTCTTGAAAATATCCCCGGTTCTTTCAAATGTCTAGGAAAAACCTGGCACAGTTTAATGTTCCTTGAATCGCTATCAGTAGGCGACACGGTCTTGGGGAAATTCTCTCTTTGCTTCGTCAGTGGCTTTTGAAGGACGGGAACTGGCTGACCGGCGTGGCCGTCCCTCTGTGTGTTCCCCCCCCCTTGTTCACGCTTTTCTCTCGGGCGTCTTGGGGGGGCTGCGGACCCGGAGAATCCCTGCATCCCGTTTTCAGCGAAGACCTCTGGCTCGGGAAGCCCCCGACTGACCTCTCTGCTCTTTTCGTCCCCCTTCGGTTGGCGTGGCCAGCTGTGCAGGAGGAACGGCAGCGAGGGAAGGATCGCAACGAGAACGAGGTCGAGTCCACCAGCAACGCGAACGAGGACATGCCGGTCGAGAAGATCCTAGAAGCTGAACTGGCCGTGGAGCCAAAGACGGAGACGTACATCGAAGCGAACATGGGCCTCGCCCCGAACTCGGTACGGGACAGTCCCCCCCCCCCCCCAATATTCAGTCTCAATCTGCTTTCCTGTAACCTGGGCCCATTATTACCTGTCTTGTACTCGGGGAGGATCGAG